ATTGATCTTTTTTAAAATATTGTATGCTGTTAGCCAAACTGCTACATGGGATAGAAACAACTTTTTTTGGTTTTTGGGAACATTGGAAATTCTGAGAAAGTGTTGGAGCACTATTTAAAAAAAAAAAAATCAACACGTAAAATCAATTGGTTTTCAGTTCAAACACAGTGACATCAAAAATCTGCCTTATAAATCAGTTGATTTCCAATGACTGTAGAATTGGAGCCTTGAAATTATTCAATATGTGATCTATTTCTCCATGGATTTCAAAAAATGTTTATGTTCCATCTGAAAGTTCTGCATTTTTGTAAAGACATATGTATAAGTGAACCTATATGCATATGTAAAAGTATAAATGAATCCACATGTAAGTTATATTATAACAACTTCTGCTACGGAATTGCTTACATATTTATTATATGCACAAATGTTATCTATTACTTCTGAACCAATTCTCCTTACCTGGTGGCCATGTAGGGTATACAGCAGCCTGCCTTCTAGTAAATCCAATATTTTTAGTGTTGAATCATTAGAAGCAGTAATAAGGTAGTTTCCAGAGGAATGAAAAGACAGGCAGTTCACTGAAGCACTATGAACTACAAAAGAAAAAAGAAAAACAAATATTTGTATGTTATTAACGTTCACTTAAATTAAAAGATACAAAGTGAGATAGAAAAACAGTGAAGGAATCATTCTAACAGAAAATAACTGGAAAAAATTAGCTCTTGTTTTATTGTAATATGAACGTTTATAAGTTTTGCTTAGCTCTCAAGCACCCTTAGGGAGAAAAAAGACTCATGTAGTTCTATGAGAACAGTAACAAATGTGAGTTTTGCACAGATTAGTGGCACTGCACCCCAGAAATGCTCAAAGTCCATCAAGGAACTGTGAGTTCTAGGCGTCCCTTAGGCATGAAAGCCAGCTGGGTGACCTTGGACCAGTCACTCTCTCTCAGCCCAGGGTTATTCTTGTGGGGAAAATAGGAGGCAGGAGTATTAGGGAAGTTTGCCACCTTGAGTTGACCAAAGATATAAGAAAAGGGATAGA